TTATTCATTAATAGAGCCCTCAGTCTGTATTGTATAATGTTCCTTCCTGATAAAATTGAAGTTATACATTTTTCTAGGGAAATTATTTCTTTTGAGTGCACCACACCAGGAATCCAGTAATATGTGATGTTGGCTGCCCCAAAATTGTTAATGACAACTTCCACCAATTGATTGCATTACGTTCTCATGGTTTATGCACTGTAAAATTTGCATCTTTCATTTTGTAATTAATAAATAATGTTAGATGAGATACTGTGAAACACTTTTGAAATCCTGTTCCTAATCAAATTTTACTCACTAATTTTAAATCAATGTAATTGTTAAAAATATTTTCACTTACCATACTCTAAAAAACATGTTAAAGAAAAAAAAATCTTCTGAAAAACCATACATATTTATGGACCATAGTGTGACATTTCAATATCTGTATACAATGTATACTGATGGAATCAGAACAACCAATGCTCCACTCTTCTCATGACTCTGATTAGAGCCCCGAAGCTCCATTACTCTATTTGCTCGAAAAATATATGATAGATTGTTATGAGCTACAGTTTCTCCACTGAGCTATGTAATGCAAGGAGCTCATTTCTTCTATCATTTGTTACCCATTATCAAACCTCTTTCTGGTGCTAGCATTGTGGCACAGCCAATAAAGCCCTATTTGGAAGCTGCATCCAATACGAACATTGGTTTGAGCCCTGGCTAACCCACTTTCCATTCAGCTCATTGCTAATGCTCCTGGAAAAGCAGAGAAAGATGGCCCAAGTACCTGGACTCCTGCCACCCACATGGGAAACCCAAATGGAGCTCCAGGCACCTGGCTTCCCCCGGCCCAGCCCCAGCCATTATGGCCATTTGGGGAGTGAATCAGCAGATAGACAGTTTCTGTGTCTCTCCCTCTCTCTCTCTAATTCTGCCTTTCAAATAAATAAAACTTTTAAAAAGACTCCTTTTTATCCACACCCTTTACCAGCCTCTAATAGCTATTATTCTATACTTGTATTAATATGTTCCATGTATGAGAAAATCTTTATGTCTAACTCATTTCGGTGCAAATGGCAGGATTTCATTTATTTTATGGCTGAATGATATTCTGTCTTGTGTGTGCACATGCATGTACATATTATATTTTCTTTATGCATTCATCTGTTGATAGCTACTGCCATTTCTGAGCCCCAAGACAGAACTCCTCAAGACTGCATGGAACAAACAAGCATCACTCCAGAGATTGGGAATGGCAGTTCCATAGCTATGGTGTGCAGGGGTCTATCCTCTGCCCTGTGAAGTACAGTGATTTTGGGGTTTCTGAAGGTAACCAGGAATGGCTACTGGCCCCTAAGACTAAATGGAGGGGGGTAGTATTGTGGTGCAGCATGTTAAGCTTCCACTTCCAACATCAACATCCCATGTGGGCATCAGTTCAAGACCAGCTGCTCTACTGATCCAGTTCCCTGATAATGTGCCTGGGAAATCAGTGAAAGATGGCCCAAGTGCTTGGGCCCCTGCCCCCATGTGGAAAACCCAGAAGAAACTCTGGGCTTCTGGGTTCATCCTGGCCCATCCTCAGACATAGAAGCCATTTGAGGGAGTGAACCAGCGGATGGAAGATATCTCTCTCCTCCTCCTCTGTCTCGTCCTCCTCCTCTCTCTGTAACTCTTCCTTTCAAATAAATTAAAAAAATACATCTTTAACAACAGCAAAAGAAAGAATAAATGGAAGCTAGCAGTGTCTATGCTATAGCTGCTTGGGTTCTGGGGCCTAGAGGGAGAGGCAATGTGGGTTCCTTTGCTTTGGGAACAAATAGTTGCTTGGGAATGCAGTCAACTTTCCGGACTGTATTTAAAGCCTGTGAGGACTGTGAAACTCTCCTATATTTACACTGTCAGTCTGCAGCAATGATGGAGATCACTGAACTTTCCTGCTTTTACCTTTTCCTGACAATGTGGAGTTCCTTCAAGCCCAGGATCTGGGGTAGGAGTTGCAGTGTGCTTCCATCCTCTGTCCATGCTGGCTTTCTGAATCTCATGCTTTTTTTCAATCCCATCAGTTCTTCGCTGAAGTTTTCCCTCAGTCAGTCTCCTAGAAACATTGTGTTTCTTTGTTGTCCTGGTTCTTCCCTATGACAGAGGCAAGTGTTGTGTTTTTCTATTCAGCCATCTTGGATCTGTGATCCCAAATCATTTAGTAATTGTCTAGATCCATTGTTCCTTCTACATATATTAGCCAGTGTTCTACTTCAAGAAGGATCTTGTGGGGTGGGTATTTGGCACAACACTTAAGTTGTCCACATCCCTGGTTCAAGTCCTGGCTCTAACACTTCTGACTCAATGTCCTGCTAATGAACACCTTGGGAAGCAACAGATGAGAGCTTAAGTACTTGAGTCCCTGCCACCTGTGTGGGGGATCCAGACTGAGATCTGTACTTAAGGTTCTGGCCTGGCCCAACCTCTCTCTTCTGGGCATTTGAGGAGTGAACCAGTAGATACGAGCTCTCTCTCCATCTGCTTCTGTCTCTTTGCCTTTCAAACAAAAATGAGGCCGGCGCCATGGCTCAATAGGCTAATCCTCTGCCTGCGGCACTGGCACACCGGGTTCTAGTCCCAGTCGGGCACCAGATTCTGTCCTGGTTGCCCCTCTCCAGGCCAGCTCTCTGCTGTGGCCCGAGAGTGCAGTGGAGGATGGCCCAAGTCTTTGGGCCCTGCACCCCATGGTCTGCATACATAAAATAATTAAGTTGTACACTACTAGACAGATTTATCCATTTACTTATGCTTAAAGAAAGAAAAAGTAGTTTTTTTAGAATTGTTAACCCATACCACTGGGTTTTTAAAGTCAGTTTGAATTAAAAATTAATAAATTTTAGTGTACAACTTAATTATTTTATGTATGCAGACACCCAAATAACCCACACTCTTTTTAAAATATAGATAATTTCAGTATCCAAGAGTATTCCCTTTTCAATATCACTGACTCTGGGTAAACATTTTTCTGCTTGCTTTTTCACAATAGATTGCTTTATTTGTTCTAGGTTATAAAAATAGATCCATACAGTACACATTACTCTGTTCTTGCTTTCTTTAGTTTAGCATAATGTCCCTGAGATTTATCAATGTTTCTGCTTGATTGACAATCTGTTCTTTTTTTAAATTGCTAATATTCTGTTTGATAAACATACCAAAATGACATGAATATGATACCACTTGGTGACTTAATGTCAAATGCATTACATTGTCTCTAAAATATACTGACAAATACATTTTTTCTATCTTAATAACAATTGAAGACTTGGTGAAGAAATATATTAAGACTATTAGGGGAACAATTGTTAATAGAAGTTAGAAGGACAAGCTAATTCTTCAAAAGAAAGCACATCTTCAACTATGTGATGGCTTAGCTGTTGGTAGAAATACACATTAGTAGAGTCACTATGAAAACAAGATATCCTTTAATTTCATTCAATAGTCTTATTACAGGTATATATCAAAGGAAATTAAATCACTATATCAAGATAACCTGTACCACCATGTTTATTGCAGCATATTCACAATAGCTAAGATAAAGAATCAACCAAGGTGTCCATCAAATGGATAATGAAAATATGTATTAGGTTCATGTTAATGCACATTATTTTTTATACATATTTTTCATGCACTTTTAAAGTCCTCTTGTACTTCAAATGCTGTCTTTAGAATCCCCTAAATATACACAATTCTTACAGGAAGTAGACCTGTCAATCTGATGAGGAATAGTTAGGTAATCCCAAACCTGATGAAATCAGGCACACATAATCCAAAACCTAGTGGAATTTTTATTGTTCAGCTTTTGTTTTGGCTCCCTGGCATCAGCTTTTATAAGCCCCTCACCTGAGACATTCCAAACTGCTAAGATAATACATTGCAAATAAATGACTTTACCAATGAGCCTTTCTGTACAGTGACTACCCAACTTAATACAGTCAATGCGACATTCTTCACATCTACATGGCTCCCTCCCAACAAGCAGCATAAACAAGCCCATTGCTTGCTGTCTGGTGGACTGTAACTTTACTTCAGCCTCATCACACGCTGTCTGGAAAGGCTATAATCTACTACCTCAACCTTCATTCTGCTTTCCTGTTTAAAATAAAAATCTTTTCTACCTTAACTGGTTGTCTCCCCACCTCCTTCAAACCCTAAAATCCTAAAACCTAACATTGATGCTGAAACTCAGGAAGGTGATTCTGAGGCACAAGTTCATGTAGAATCTCTGCCTCTCCCTTACTCCTTTGACATCTATACAGATCACAACTCTGGAAAATGAGGTGAGTCCTTTTTTGAGCTTCCTCCACAAGGGCCTTGCTACTCTTTTTTTCCTCCTGCACCAAAAATCTTAGTGCTATGTTGAGATCCATCCTCTGGCTAGGAACATCTGTCCCCAGCCCAGCCTCCCTCTTTCCAGGGACACATGGAGTAACGACATGGTCTCACTGTTTTCATGTGAACTCAGATATTTGAAGGTACCTGACCCTCTCCCTTCCCCACATGTCTATTTGACTCTTTGAGACTTGCTTTCTCCCTCTGCTTTCCATGTTGAAAGTTTACCTTCATCTTTTTCTGTAATTCAGTGTGGCTGAGGTATCGCCAGATTCTCCAAGACTCAACAGTTTCGTCTATCACAATGGAAAATCGTCCAAGATTCCCTATATACAGGCATTTCTCTTTATTCATAATCACCCTTCATTCTATCTTCTGTCAGATTCCCCACTTCAGGGAAAAAGTCAGACTTCTAATCACTAAGCCTCTGAAGTCTGTCAACTCAAAGTTGACTTTGATCCCGCCAGTCATGCAAGTCTACCTCTTCCTCTTTCCTTACACTACCTTGGCACCCAGCTGAAAAATCCTCCTCACTCTCAGAGCCTCCTTCAGAGTCCCCTCCCCCTTCTCACCCTCCATAACTCATTCACATTCTCAATGACCACCCCCAGCTTCTCATTCCCCAATACTCATCCCCTTCTTACCCTCCTTGAGGTGGTTGGTGCTGATCTGAGCTGTCGCCACTCTCAGTTCTTCACAAAGATGTCTGCTGGCCTGTCACATGGATTCTTTCCATTAAACTGGGTAACCTTGTTTATTCCAGTTTGAATGACTGGACATTCTCTCTTTCTCTCTCTTAAGCTCTACCTGGAGAAGTGTCCATCCACTCTGACAGATGCCCTACCCTGTTAAACCTTGCTAGTTTGCTTACTGCTACTCTCTATCTCACAGCTAACATCTTTCTTGCACAAATACAAGAATCTCTGCTTCAGCCAACCACAATAATATATTTGACAGAGCCAACCAAAAAAAAATGGACAATGCATCCTTAAGCTACTAAGATAATTCATTCATTCGGTGATCCAAAACCTCACTCAAATCCATGTCCACAATGTTTTGTTTTGTTTGGTTGTTTGTTTTGCTGAGAGGCATCCAGTACCAGCCACTGACCAGTCCTCAGTCCCATAACTGGGAGAAATAAGAAACACTTCTCTTTTTATTTTTTTAACTTTTATTTAATCAATATAAAATTCCAAAGTACAATTTATGGATTACAATGGCTTTTCCCCCCCATAACTTCCCTCCCACACACAACACTCACATCTCCCACTCCCTCTCCCATTCCATTCACATCAAGATTCATTTTCAATTCTCTTTATATACAGAAGATCAATTTAGTATAAATTAAGAAAATATTTCAACAGTTTGCACCCACACCAAAACAAAAAGTGTAAAATACTGTTTGAGTACTAGTTATAACATTAATTCACATTGTATAACACATTAAGGACAAAGATCCTACATGAGGAGTAAGTGCACAGTGACTCCTGTTGTTGATTTAGCAAATTGACACTCTTGTTTATGGCCTCAGTAATCACCCTAGGCTCTTGTCATGAGTTGCCAAGGCTATGGAAGCCTCTTGAGTTCTCTGACTCTGATCTTATTTAGACAAGGTCATAGTCAAAGTGGAAGTTCTCTCCTCCCATCAGAGAAAGGTACCTCCTTCTTTGATGGCCCGTTCTTCCTACTGGGATCTCACTCGCAGAAATCTTTCATTTAGGTCTTTTTTTTTTCTTTGCCAGAGTCTTGGCTTTCCATGCTTGAACACTTCCTTAACTATACCCCTTATCAGCAGATAGCAGCCATGAAGACTTCAGCATCCTTCCCTTTTCCCTGGTTCCCCCTCCCCTAGGACCATTTTCTATGTAACACCAAATGTTTATTCCTCTCTCTGCATATATTAAAATGCTGTATATGTTTAGGATCTGTTAGGATTCTGAGGCACAAATTATTAATCCCAAACCTGAGGAAACTGGACACTACTAGATAATCTAAAGGCTAGTAGAATTTTCATTTCATTACATTCAGTTGTCATGCCACCGACTTTTATAAGTCCCTCCCCTGGGACATTCCAAACTGCCAAGATAATACATTGTAAATAAGTAGCTTTGCCAGCAGACCTTTCTATATATCCCCACTCACCTTATCAGTATCAATGTGGCACTCTGCACAACCACATGTCCTCTCCCAACAAGCAGATAAAAAGGGATTACTAGGGCCTGGCATTGTGGTGAAGTGGGTAAAGTGGCCACCTTGGACACCAGCATCCCATATAGATGCCTGTTCAAGACTCCATTGCTCCACTTCCAATCCAATGCCCTGCTAGTGTACCTGTGAAAGCAGTGGAGGATGATGTCCCTAGTACATGGGCCCCTGCACGCATGTGGGAGATCCAGAACAAGTTCCTGGATCCTGGCTTTGGATCATTCCAGATCTGGCCATTGCGGCCATTTGGGGAGTGAACCAGCAGATGGAAGAGTTCTCTCTCTGTTTCTCCCTTTCTCTTTCAGTAACTCTGCCTTTCAAATAAATACCTAACTCATCAAAAAAGGAGGATGACTACCTGCTGCCAGGGCAGGATGAAATCTGACTTCAAACTCCCTACCCACTGTCTGGCGGGCTAAGCCTTTTATTTCTTCACCCACCATTTTGTCCCTTCTGAAATGAAGTATTTTCTGCCTTAAACCTTAAAAATGGATATGTGGTACAGTGCAAACACACAACTTGAATGCCTGTTTCCCACATCAGAGTGCCTGGATTCAAGTCCCCAGCCCTATTTCCAATTCTAGAGTCCTCCTAGTATGCATTCCAATAGGCTGCTGGTTATGACTCAACTGCTTGGAAATCTGCCACCCACATGGTAGATCTCTATTGAGTTTGCAGCTCTTGGCTTTGTCCTGTCCCAGCCCCAGCTGTTACAGGCATTTGGGGATTGAACCTGAAAAAGGGAGATCTCCCTGTCTCTCTCTCAAAAATAAAAGATGATTACATGTTAATAAAAAATGTGTTGACAAAAGGAAAAATTTCCAACACAACATTTACTACAATTTAGTATAAAAAGAATTAAATTGACAGCTCAAAGGCATTAGTGCTTAATCAGCCATATGATTTTGGGTATGTCATTTTATCCTCCTATACATCTTTGACTATGTACAAAAAAGAATAGAATTTACTTCTTAGAGAAAAGTGAAAATCAATTTTTGTGAAATATAATGATCTATGCCAATAAAAGTATTACAATGCTTACCAAAAATATAGAGTTGTAATTGTAGATTTATGAATTGAACAGCACTGATTATTTTGTATTCATTTTTCTTTTACTTCAAGTGTCTGACATGAGTTGGAAGCTTCTAAACTTGTTCATAAAACTTTATGAGAATTCCTTTCTGGTTTGCAGTAAATAAACTTTAGGGCAAGGATTTGGCAAAGGGGCAAAAATGCCACATAGGATGCCTGGATTTGCATCCCAGTTCTGCATCTGATTCCAGATTCCCACTATTGTAAAACCTGGAAGGAAGCAAGTGATGCCCTACCACCTATAAGGGGGACCTCTATGGAATCCCTATCACCCAGCTTTGACCTGAACCAACCCTGAATGCTAGGATTATTTGGAAGAGTGAGGCAGCAGTTAAGAGGATTTCGATCTCTGTTTATCTGTCTCTCTGTGTGTGCATGTATGTGTGTATCACTACCTTTCAAATAAACAAATAAAAATTACAGTGGAAAGAAGAATTGACATCCGGGCACCTCTGGAATTACTAATTCAAATTTAGACAAGTTCTCAATAATCTTATTAGGTACACAAGGAAGTCCCCAAATCTATCTTTGCTAGTTTACTTAATGTTTCAGAGTATAATTACCTAACCAGAATTTTTACCTTGAGTACCTCAATGTCACTCAGAATTGTGAAGCTAGGCTAAGAATATCTTTCAACACAGCAAAAACATTTGGTGTTATGTCTTTATGTATTAATCTTCTACAACATCTTCATCTGTTTGCTCACCTGACATGTTAATAAGATTTTTATCAATTTATTTCCTGGGGCTCTACAGTGTTTAGCTATAAACTATATTCAAAATTCTTTGACTACACTATAATGTTATATCTCAATTAATTTGACTTGGGAAGAACTGAGTGACTGAAAATGACTGAAGAAATTCTTATAAATGTCTATGCAATAAGAGGTAACCTTACAATTCAATTTGAGTAATAAAAATTGAACAACCTAAGAAATGGAAATTTACCACAACTGCAAAGTAAGTATGAATCAATACCATGGCTGCAACTGTTCTGGGAAGATAAGAACATAAAGTTTTAGCAGACGGCTTGCTTAAAATCCCTGCTCTGTACCCTCCAGATTAGAAGTGACTTCAGTTTGCTCAATTTGTCCAGTCCCTTCTCAGTCCCTGCCTTAGAAACCTACCCCCAAATCATATGTGTGGCAACTTCAATCCAGTAAAAATTCTTTTATAATTGCCTTTTCCAAGTCTTTCTACTTATTGGTGTGCAAGATTATTAAAAAAAAAAACCTTTTTTTGATAATGGATTTCCTGGTGACTTCTGTAGGAATATTTTCAATTTCATGAGATTCCATAGTGCTCTCTCTAAGATTCCTCCCTTAAATGACACAAGACCCTTTGTTTTGGGACTAATACTACCAAGGACCCCTTGACCCACTTTATCCAGGACCAAGTCCCAGGCTGCTATACTGAAAATTCCAAAAAGAGATAGAAGTTCTGATATTTACACAGTTAATGCCCTTCTGTGCTAATCTTTATCCTAGGAATTGGAACTTTAGGAATATTTTATGATGTAATAAAATTAAATAAATTTCCCCATGGTGAAAACTAATTATATGTTTGCCTCCTAATGTTTCATAACTAAAGAATGTTATGCTGTGTTATATATTTTAAAGGTTTATTTGTTTACTAGAACAGACTTACAGAGAGAAACTGAGATTTAGAGAGAGAGGTCTCCCATCTGCTAGGTCACTCTCCAAATGGTCACAACAGCTGACAGTGGACCAGGCCTAAGCCAGGAGGCTAGGAATTCCACCAGGGTCTCTTACATGGATGGCAGGGGCCCAAGCATTTCGACCATCTTCCAATGCTTTCTGAGGTACATTTTTAGGGAGATGGTTCAGAAGTAAAGCAGCCAGGACTCAAACCAGTGCTCATATGGAACTGGCATTATAGGTGGAAACTTAACCTGGCCTAACATGACACCAGTCCCCAAGTTTTGTATTTATGTAAGAAAGCTCATAGGAGATAGGAATAGTCCACATTAAATCTATTCTCCCTGAAATTGCCCTAATAACTAATAATTAAAAGAGTTTCATAAAATATTATCCTTTCTACAATAAACTTTGTCTTGGGTCACCGTTGGAAGGTATGTAATAACCCATCTACATCTTGTCTATTGTTTGAGGAACTTACTCTTGGAGAGATTAGTTTTACATAAATTCAGCCTGTCAGGGACCACTAGTTAGTTGGTATCAAAGTATTCTGACATCAAGATGTGGTGGAGGATCTAACACATGGGCTATTATAACTATATCCTGTTAATCAACCATAATCATATTTGTTCCTCCTGGTTTGTATAATAATGCATGCAAACTTTCCCTATAATATCTGCAGGATTTTATTTATGCTTACATTTCAGCCTCATACACCTACCCCTCTAAATGGCATGCATTATTTAAAGAGACAATTTGAAATTGTAACAACTATTTTTGTGGAACATTTGATAGGTCTAACATCGTATTGTATTTGAGATGAACATGAAAATATGATACTAAATAGTCAATAATAATTTCCAATTGATATATAAACATCCTTAAAGGAAATATAGAGTTTAAATTTGCATTCTTACATGTATTTGTGTGAAATTGTCAATCTTGGTTTTATGGCTTTCCATAGACTCTTTCTTTCAATTTAGTTGGTTCTGTCCACCCCTGCCCCCATCTTGTCCTT